GGGCGGCCGGCGGGGCTCCGGAGCGCGCCCTGGGGCGGCGGCGGCAGCGACCGCGGGACCTCCCCGCCGGTGCCGGCCAGTCTTCGGCATCGCCCAAGCGGGGCTCACCCGGGCGCCGCTTTTGTAGGCGCGCCGGGGGCGACCTCTCGGAGGGGGTCGTGAGGTCTGGTCGGGCTCGCGCCACCCCGCGAGTGGGCAGCGTGGCTCCGTGGGTACGGGCGGGTTAGGGGCCGGTGGCGGGGGGCTCCTGTCCCGGTGCCTGGTCCCGCCGGGCCGGGGCAGGGGGCGTTCGGGTGGCCGTTGCTGGCATCCCAGAGCCTCAAGTCTCCTTTGTGTGGCGGGGCGGCGCGGGCGTCCGGGTGGGACGGGACAGACTCAAGTTGGTGGGACCGAGCGGAGAGTCCGCACTCAGACAAAGGACGGACTGTGTCTCGGGAGGGGAGGGGAGGACACGACACTCGGGATTCCCGCCGCGCGGGTTGGGGCGTGGGGAGGCGCCGCGGGCGCGGGTGGGCAGGGCTGGTCCCCACCGGGACCCCGCCAGGGGCGGCGACCGGCTCGCGCCGGGCCCAGCCGCCCAGGGGCTTAGTGCGCGACGTGGGAACTCTGGCAGCCCCGCCGCTGACGTTTCCCCGATAGCCGGGTGTCTCCCGCCGCCTCGGGCTGCCTCCTGGGCCGTCGCTTGGCTTTGTGCTAAGTTGGATGGCAAGAGCGGAGCTGTCCTCCCTTTCTTGGTTGTGTTGCTTGAGGTCCCACTTCATTGTGCATCCCCCGCCACGCACCAGAAGATCGTTGCCTCGGGGCTACTTTTTGAAAATGGGAGGAATGGAGAAGCACGGGCTTTCGGAAAACTTGGTGAATGCCTTGTGTGAGTTCCACTTTCTAAAGAATCGTGATTAAAAAAAAAAAAATTGGCCAACTTGTGTGCTACATCTGAGAATGGCGACAGGTGCTAACGAAATCAACTGTCATTTAACCCAACGATTATTCCTCACATCTCAAGGGGTTGAATGAGAGAAAGATGAATTAGGTGATCGAAATAAAATGCCCACGAGAAATGTGGGTTTAGACTATAAGCTTGACAATTTCTTATTAATTGGTCTTGTTTTCTGAGAACAATAGCTTTGGTGAGTCAGAAAAGACGGAATGTACACGTTTGTTTGCCTAAGATATTCCCGTGTATTCTAGTCACAATTCAACGAAACTTCCTTTGTTTATCACACAGGGTCTGTAAAATCTAAATTCATTTGGAAGTAAAAATCTGTCTTTGTTATTTAAAATATTTTACTACAACTCTCTAAGTTTCAAGAAGGTCGTTATCAGTTTAATTTTATGGGATTTTAGTGTCACATTAAAACATTTGAAAAATATTTTAAAGCAGTAATGTTGCCACAGCTGAAAACAAGCATAATTCTAAATACTCTATTTTCAAGAAATAAAAGTATTTAGGTTATATTTTAATTTCCTCTTCATGGTCTGTTAAGTTAGGAATAGATTGGATTTTAATCTTAGAAGAAAGGAATCAGTGTTTCCTCTTTTTGGAGGTGTGTTGGAAAATGAGATATTTAAAGCCCCAGAAACACTTATGCAAATTGCATCTTAAATTCTTACTTTGATGGGAAATATGTTAAAAAAAAGAAGTTAGGAAAACACAGACTCTTTCTGATTGTTCCATCTGATGAAGATCTGAAGTACATTTGCTAACTTATGATTTCCTACAAATGGAAACAAAGAAATGCAGTCTAAAAATCTATTGCATCTGTTTTGTAGAGTGTTGAGCATCATGGAATAGACATTTCAGGTACTGCTCTAAGTGTTAAGATTTAAAATGTTTGTTTATATTAGGCCTTAATAATCATGTGTTTAAAAATCTCATTGAAAATATTATTATAAAATGAACTAGTTGTGTACATTTCTGGTAGAAACTTGAGTGTTGAGGATATAAAATTTCCAGCTTTTGTCCTTATTCTGTAGTTATTTGCTACAGATATTTCTTAAAACGTCTGAGGAATTGGTTGAAATTTTTAAGTTATGTTGTGGTAGAATTGAAGATATGTTTAGGCACTCTGACTAGCAGTGTTAGAAAAGAAAAACACTTGTTGATTTAGTATAGTTAGGAGAAATGTTCTTTTTGGTTCTGGCTTTGTTTTGTATGGGCACATGGAAGTGATCATCTTTGTTTTGGCCATTTACCAGTTTTGGGCAGATTTCTCAGACCACGCTGATATTTTTAGGGTATCTTTCATGCTTTGAGGTGGTATGCCCAACAAGTTTAGATTTATTCATTATTAGCATTTGTTTATTTATCTATTGTTTTTTGAGACAAAGTCTCTCTGCCCTGGAACTCACAGATCTGCCTGCCTT